GCGACTGGCCAGGGGCTGGGCGCAGCGTGCGCGCTGCTGGGTCCCCGCAACAGGCCCGGGGGGTTCAGGCCCGGGCGCCAGAGCCGCAGCCACCGAGCTTGGCCATCAGCCGCTTCCTTCCCCCACGGCAGTGGGAGCTGCAGCAGCGGCTGCTCCCAAGTCCTGTTGCCCAGGGGGGGAAGAACAGTCGCCGCCTGGCCCCGCAGGCCACCCCCCTACTCTCCCTACCACCCGACTGAGTCCTGCCTGCACTCGGGGCCAGGCCGGACTCTCACTCACGCCAGCCCCACGCTCCCCCAGTGTCTCCGGGGCCTCCCTCCAGCACTTGTGGAGGGAGGAGGAAGGGTTTTTTTTTTTTGCTCTGCCACCTTTTTATTTTATTTTTTTTGCCCCCCCCCCCAGCCACACCCCCATCCCGATATTTGGCCTGGTCACCCTAGTCCATGGGGAGGTGAATGCCAATCCCCACAGTTATGCAAAATCCCAGCCTTTAGAAGGTACGTCCTGAAGAGTGAGCCTCTGTTAGTTGATCATCCGTTTCATGAGGCCAAAATCAAAGCCTCCAGCTGCATAAAGGAAAGAGTGACCTAGTCATGTTGGTTCTGGTTCAGAATCGGAGATAGTTGTGAACGTGTAACCATGGGCAAAACCCATTGTGGGTTTTGAAGGACTGACACCTACTAGAGCCCCAGGTTGGAGTTATGGGGCAGTGTCATGGGGCAGGTACACCTGATCAAAGGGCATCAGGTTGTGGGGGGATCAAAGTAGAGATTTAGTGACCCAGTGGCCCGAGCCAATACAGCCACCCCTCGGTGTGGGGCGGCACAGCCCAAGTAGTTACAGTCAGTAGGACAGTCCTTCTGCTGCACAGTTCACCCCTCCAGGTGTCAGCTGCCCCACTGGCAGGGCAGGGGGACCCGGGCCTACCATGCTCCACCACTGCTTCTACAATCAGTCTCAGACACTTGGTACCTCAGTCCTGATCCTTCAGTCACTTCCTACCCTTCCTTCCGAGGCTGGTAGTCTCTCCTCTGTTGGCAGTAGCAGTGCTCCACTGGGGAGTCCATTGGAGCCTCAGCCAGGCTGGCTTCTGGAGCTCTGGCCATCTCCCTGTAAGAGCCTGCAACACACATCTGTTCTCCTCAGTGGCCAGCCCAGACTGATCTGAGCTACTTCCTTTTATACTCTGGTTCCAGTTAGAGCATGCCCAGCGGGGCGGGGCTTCCTTGGGCCACAGAGTGTGGTTAACCCCTTCTGAACCAGCGCAGGGTAAATACACCCCATCACAGGGTGATCTCTGGTAAGCTTATTAGCATGAGGGTATGTTCCTTTATTGTTTTAATGTTTTCTCTGTAATGTTTTCACCTTAATAAATATGCTTGCTTAAAAAAGAGCTGTGTGGTAACTTGTAACTGGTGGCAATTACACCACTTATAGCCATCTAAGAGCAAGCAAAGCACAGACACTGGTCTATTTAGGCAATCTGGCTTGCTGGGAATATCACAGTGCAAGCAGGGAACCATGCAGCCTGGGAAAAACCGCAATCATGAGGGAGAGAGACATGGGTCTCTCCCGAAGAGAAGTGATGACTGAAGAGCTGGGAGCCTAGAGTAGGTGCCCTTGAAGGCCCTGACAGGGGGAATACAGTGCAGTTGCCCTGATCTGTGACACACTCATTATTAAAACTTTGCCACTTTTATTTCCAAATTGGATTTTTCTGACTTCAACCTCTAGCAGTTGAATTTTGTTATCCCTTTGCTGGACTAAGTCAGTATTGTTCTTCTTGTGTAGGTAATTACAGACAGTGATCAAGTCACCTCTTAGCCTTCTCTTCAATACACTGTTAGGGAACCAGAAGGAAGGCAGTCTTGCCTAGTGGTCAGAGCAGGAGTCCTGGTCAGGGAACAGCATTGAGGAACAGCATTGGCAGAGTCAACTGCCGATTACCAGAGCCAGGGGTTGAGACAGAATCAAAGCTGAGGGCTGGAACTGGGATCAGATACCAAATGCCAAAGCCAAGGGTCAAACCAGAGCTGGAGTTAGAGATCAGAGCCAGGATTGGTAACCGATGGTCGGCAGTGAGCTGTAAGGCCAGGAACTGGAGGAGAGGCAAGGCTCAGGGGCATGGTGGGAACTGGGAGGGAGGCAGGTGCCAGGAGCAGAGCAGGAATCAGGAACAGGGTTGGGTGCAGAATGCAGGCAGCAGGCACCAGTAGGGGCCAATGCAGAAGCAGGAAATCACCTAGTAGCTCAACTTCCTGTGCCTTTTTCTGGCTTAACCAGCCTGGTTGGACCAACCGGTGGAGCTGGTGATCCTCCAATCAGGGCTCCCATGGGTGGTGCCTTAGATGAGGCTGTAGTCCTGCTAGCTCCTTGGACCGCCACATTTCAGCAGACATCGGGTGGTGGCCAGGATGCGACAGCTGACGGGGGACATGCAGGCCTGCATTGGAGACCCAGGGCATTGCATCGATTACACTGAGCTCTTTTAATCTGTTTTCCAGACTCTAAGTCACTCTTGTAGTTCTTCGCAGGACCCGCCCCAAATTTTCAGCAACCTTCTCTAAGTGGGCATTGTATACAGGCAGTGGTCTCACCAGGGCCTTATACAAAGGTCACAAAACGTCCCTATTTCTCATTGCTATTCCCCTATTCATACGTCTAAGGCTCACGTTAGCTTTCTTAGTCACAGTATCATACTGGAAGGGAGCACTGGGTGCATGATGCCCAAACTCCTTTTCAGTCACTGCTTTCCAGGGTGCAGTCCCCCAGCCAGTCAGCATTCCTAGACGCATGACCTTCCATTGGGCTGCATTACAGCTTCTACTGCTTGCTTGACCGAGCAATCCAGATTGCCCTCCATCAGGGGCCTGTTCTACTCATTATTTGCCACCCCGCACAATCTTTGTGCCATCTGCAAACTTTGCCAGTCGTGATTTTATGTTTTCTTCCAGATGACTGACACAGACCCCACTAGACAGACCCCTCTCTTCGATGACTCCCCATTTGTAAGAAAAGCTCCTCGGCAGGAAAACGGAAGGGTAGAGGATCTGGGGGCAGCTTAGTTGTAGGTAAATAAATTACAATAATAATCAGCTGGAAGCTTGGACTTTATTATTCAGGTTATATTTACATTCATCCATGCAGAGCACTAGATGAATATGCAGATTCTCCCTATAAGTGTCTACAGTGAGGAAAGGAAGATTAGCCAACTACAATCAGCACATTTGTCAGTACAGATGATGACAACAATAGATAAGAAAATGTCTCATCTCCCTTCTCACACAGATCCTCACCCACTGCCTGCTCCTCCCACCGTTCACAGTCACTCACTACCCTCTCAGGAGGGGCTTCATTCTAATTATTGCTAATTTAAAAAATTCTGAAAGGAACAAAAGGAAAAAGGGAAGGAAGGGAAAGAAAGGCATCCTGGGAGTGCCCTACAGCTGATTACAGTCAGGAGGGATATAATGTAGACCCGGGCCTGATTCTCTCACATTGGTTTGCACCTAGTCCCTGTTAAATCCAATGGCAGTTGTGTGTCTGTAACTGCAGGAGAATCCGCTCAGAGATCTATTCATTATGCATTGCAAAGTGCTGCTGGCATTCACAATAAATAAGATAGTCCATGCATATTATTGCGTGTTAAGCTTAGATTCTCTTTCCAGGCCATACATAATTGCTTCTTCCGCATAGCAGGTCTTGGTGGCTCTGTTTTGCATAATGAGGCTGATGCTATATATAGCACGCCAGCAGCGCACAATTCTTTACACAGCAAACGGATCTGGTCAAAAAAGGAAGCAACAATTTCATAACAAATTTCATTTGGTTTGAAATGAAACCTTTTCCGTTTTTCAGGAATTTTGTGCATCGTTTCAAATCAAAGTTTTATCTACATTTTTATCAAAACCAATATTGCCCTTACGTTTTTGCCAAAACCCGACTTTTCGATAAACAAAAGTTATTGATTAAAAATGTCAATTAAAAATGTCTCCCCAAATTCCAGAGACAAGAAACCATTTCAATAACAACGTTTGACATATTTCACCTGGGGGGAAAGGCTATTTTTTTTTCAATGGCAAACCTTTTATTTCAAAAATGTTGGCCATCTTTAATAGCAAGTAAGAACAAATGGCAACATTTGTTGCCTAACGATTGGCCCCTAGGTGAGGTTTTTTTCAAAGGCACAGATGGGACTTTCACTTGTAAATGGGCAGGTCGCTGCTTTCTTGTTGAAAATCTTCCCCTTCAGAGGTCTAATTCTGGCCACAGTTCCTGCCCCAAGGAGTTGAGCATCCACATCCACTTCCTGTGGACAGGTTTGGTGTGAGAAGAAACGAGTGTCTCTGTGTGTGGGGCAAAGGTGGAAAGGGGCTGGCACATACAGCTCATGGAAGCAGGGGCAAGGGCTGCTTTGCTTCTTTGTCTTTCTACCCAAGAGCCCTTTGCAGAAGGCCCAGCCAGACAGCTGAGGAGACCAGAAAACACGTGGAAGAGGCAGACAGAGCTGGATTTGCTGTGGGAAGTTGGAGAACCCAAGCCGGATAAAGGATAATTAGTTATTGACAAGCTGAGAGAGGTAGTTTGTTGGGGAACACAGCAGAATAATTAGCTACGAGGTAGAAATCAGGAGGAGAAGGTAGCGAATCGAAAGAGGAAGCGGGTGGGTTCTCCAGGCAGAGGGTGGAGGAAGCAGCCAAGGACACAGGAAAATAACCTGGCAATGAGACTGCAGAGACGAAAGGCTCCGTACTGACCCCTCCTACCTCCAGCCTGCGGAGGAGTGGTCTTGAGTGACCTTGAGGGGAGGAGAGAAAGAGAATTCAAGAGGAGCCAGGAAATTTCTCAGCCTCCGAAAGGTTAAATGAGCCGTAGGGGCTGCACAGGGCTTAAAAGCCCAGCATCCCTGTTCAAGTGCACTCTAATGGGACAGCTCTAAAAGGAGAAAACTTAAGTACCAGCAGAACAAGTGGCTGCTTGGGACTCCTGCAGGTGGGTGTGGCTCGCATTTAGTGGGGCCAGCACAGATGGGAAGCAGCACCGAAGCTGAAGAGGGGGTTTCTGAACAGCGCCCGGGGCCTCCAGGCACCCCCATCACCAAGGGGCCTCTATGTTCCCTACAGGTTTCTGCTGACCCCACTCCTCCAGCCAAGTCAATTCGTGCTGCTCTCTAGCCTGCTGACAGGGACCAGCCATTGTTGCTCCCGCGGCTATTGCCTCTCTTGGGAGCAGGAAGCCTTCCAGCGCCTCCTGCAGATGGCTGAGTCCCTCACCTCCTTTCCCACCTCCATTAAAAGAGCTGCTCCTCTCTGCCTGGGGTTCGGCCCTTCACTCCATGCCCCCTTCTCTGCTCCTTCCCTCATGAAAAAACCCTACTGGCTCCTGGGTCTGCGGCTCGCCTTTCCCCCTTCTGCCGAAGAGGCAGCAGGACCTGGGCTTCTCGGCTTCCACCTGCCCCCTACGCTCACACCTTCATCCCTAGACTCACCTCTACCCCTGCTTACTCGCTAGGGGGGCGGGGGTCCCAATCCCAGGCCTTGTCCAGACAGAGAAAGAGGTGCTTTTAAAATAGGGTGAACTAACACAGCTCAAAACGCTAGAGTAGACTGGGCAAGTGGTATTTTCCCACGTTAGCCGGCTGACGTGAACTCTTGGAACGGGCTAAGATTGGCCACAACCAGCTAACACATTTTAAAGGCGTTAGAACCTATCTCCATTAGTGGCTAATGAGTTTTTAAATAGCACTTAATTAAAATGCATTAGCCAACATGATTTAAAAAAAACAACAACACACCTTTATCCTAGTCTGGATAAGGCCGCAGCGGGGAAGGAAGAGAAGAGCCAGTATGGCTGCACTGGGGTCTTAGAAAACTTGTTAAAGATCTTAAAACAAAGGGAATAAAAAACTAAGGAAAAGGATTCATTCCAGGAGGCAAGTAAAGGGGTGGGAGGGGAAGAGAAAGGGTGACAGGAAGGATGTGTAAGGTCAAGTCACAGAGACCGAGACCTGGGCATCACTGCAAAGAGCGCTGTGGACAAGAATACTGAAAAGCTGATGGTGCCATTTGTAAGTCATTGGGACATCCCTGACTGAAAGACTGTGTTCTGTTCTGGTTACGCCCGCTGCCGATAGTTACAGCAGAAATAGCAGGGACTAGAAATGGGTGATACCCATGATAGGAGGCCTTGCTGTCTAAGCAAAGACTGAAAAGTTTAGGATACAACAAATAAGGGGGCGTTTGACAGTTATATAAAGTAACGAAGGGCAACGTAGTCACACAAGCTAAGAGAATATTTTGTATACAATTGTGATGGGGTGTCCACCCTACACAAGGCCTGGAGGGGTGAAGGTGGCTAAGTGGGCCAATTAACTGCCCAGGCTGCTCTTGGAGAAGAGGGATTTAATTAGAAGAGACTCAACTGGGCAGAAACAGGTGGGGAGCTATATAAGCCAGGAAGCTGGCAACAGAGTCTGCAGGGAAGGTGTCTGCAGTTGCTCCTTTGGAGAAGGGAGGTGTATCTGGGGCTAGAGGCAAGTAGTCTACAGTTACACCCCGGGAAGAGGGAGTTGGGAGTAGGGTGACCAGACAGCAAGTGTGAAAAATCAGGATGGGGATTGGGGGTAATTGGCACCTATATAAGAAAAAGCCCCAAATATCAGGACTGTCCCTATAAAATCGGGACATCTGGTCACCCTAGTTGGGAGGCTGACAAACTCGGGGGGCTGGGAAGGTAGGAAAAGGCTCAGGGGAAAAGAAGCAAGGTGGGAGAGTGCAGGCCTTCCAGGCTGACTGGAGAACTCCTGAGCTGGGACCCAGAATAGAGGGTGGGCCTGGGTTCCCCTACCAGCCACTGGAAGAGTGGCATGGTCAGAGCAGTAAAGAAAAGACTGCCGTTGTGTATGGAGGGACTTTGATAACCCCCCTACTGAAGGGGGAACCATGGAGTGACCTGGCTGGAGGGCCGAATCATGAAGAGGGCGCTGCAGGCCCTGGAGCGAGAGGGGTCTGCTGGGCAAGAGGACGACAGCAGGGACACCACCAGAGGAGGGCGCTATGCCTGGCCAGAGCTAACCCCCAGGACAGCCAGGAGGTGCCACTAGCCGTGAGTGCACCCTGGGACAACACCACCACAGTTCACTAGGGAACTCTCTGCCACAAAATAGTACTGAGTCCAAGGGTTTATCAGGGTTCCAGAATGGATTTGACACTTAAGGATAATAAGACTAACACCAGCTACATCAAACAGGATAAATAATATGTAAGATATAAACTCGCCTGCTTCAGGACATAAAGTATGATGGACTGATAGGATTTAGGAGGAATTTTTCCTCAGGGGCAGGTTATTTCAAAACTGTCCATTACAGGATTCCAGCAACTTTCTCTGAAACCTCTGGGCAGTGGGTACTGACCGAGACAGAATGCGAAACTACGTGGGCCCCAGGGCTGAAGTGGCGTGGGAATGCCTTTGTTCCTAAAAGGGGACAATAAAACAAGACCCTGAGAAGGCAGGTTTAGCGCTGCCACTGCATGACAAGCAGAATAAATGATAGATGACAAGGCACCCTCAGAAATCTCCTTCAGTAGCTACTTTGCCTCAGTTTCCCCTGGGTAGGATGACAGCAGCAGGATGATTTATGCAAAACAACTAAAGAAGAAGGGAATGCTGGAGGATTCTCTGCACCTTGAGGTCTTTAAACCACGATTTGAGGACGTCAATAACTCAGAGCTAGGCGAAGGGTTTGTTACAGGAGTGGGTGGGGGAGATTCTGTGGCCTGCGTTGTGCAGGAGGTCAGACTAGACCATCATAATGGTCCCTTCTGACCTTAAGGTCTATGAGTGTTCATGAGGCTGGATCATGAATCAAGTTAAAGAGACCAAGATGACTAGATCTGTATTCCAAACAGGATGATCTGATAATATTCACCCTGGGATGCTAAAGGAATACGCAATTATACGTGAGATCTTTTGGAGATCACAAGGCTTGTTCTGGTCTCACTTACATGGATGTAAATCAGGAGTAACTCCATTGGAACAATGGAGTTGCACCAGCATCATTGAGTGAGGTCAAAACTGGTCCCTGGGGAACTGGGAAAGACTGAACCTAGCCCACGTGTTTAAGAACTGAAAAAGGGAGACCCGGGTCTTTACAGAACAGGGAGTTGAACGTCAACACCGAGCAACTGACTGCAATTAACCCAGGAGTCGGACTATACATTCCAAGGATACTTGCTGGGCCAGTGCTCCAAAAATAGCGGTGTAGACAGTGCTTGGACTGGAAGTCGAGGAGCCCAAGTTTCAGTCCAAGCTGCAGCGGCAAAGCACCGTCTACACAGCTGTTTTTCGTGTGCTAGCCCCGCAAGCTGCAGTCTGTCGACCTGGGCTGGGAGGCTCGCCCCTGTGAGCTGTGTACCTCAGGAGCGCCGTGCTTAGGGCTGAGGGCGTGGATAAAGGTGAAGCTATATGACTCGGACTGTGCAGGTAAGGATCTGAATGGGAGCCCGTGGATGTGGTTGAAGCTGTGTAGGTGCAGATGACACTGTGGGTGGAATGCGAACCTGGTTGGGGGCTGCAGGGGGGGCAAGCAGTTGTGTGAGGGCGGCACCATAGGGTGTCTGGGAGAGTGTGGCTTGGGAGAGCGAGGGGGTTGGTGCAGGTGATGCAGGGTGTTGGTGAGGGCATGCTTGGATGTGAGTGGAGAGTGGGTGAGGGGTAGGCTAGTTGGGTGCGTATTGTGGGTGAAGTCGGGAGCATGGGGTGCAGTGAAAGGCTGTGACATTGTTTATAGGGGGAGCAGACGTGTCCCAGGGTGGGTAACTTTACCATGCGGCCAGGATGACTAGTTTGCCTTGTTTTCGCAGGCGGTCCCTCCCTACCAGAAGAAAGTGCCGGTAAGTTCCAGTCTACTCGCCCCATGTCCCTGCAGCCAGCAGGGCTCGCGGAGAGATGCAGCTGTCGGTGCTAGAGCATATGCTTGCTTCAGACTCTGAAGACCAGGGCAAGTCAGTGCTTCCTCGGGGATCCCGTGTTCTCCTTGTGTTTCCATAGGGTTTTTAAACTCTGCAGAGCCCACGTACGCAGGCTGCCACTGGTGCGTCAGAACCACCGGCTGTGTGAACAGAGGGCGTTGTTGGGAACATAATGGTTCAGTGATGCTGGATTCTTCAAAGTGTGAGGGAGGCAATGGTTCAGCTGACTCGAGTTGCATTTAGCCACGGAGCCTCCTGGTCCTCCCGGTCTCCTCTCGGGCAAGTGCAGCCTCAGCAGAAATCAGTTCCTTCCACGTTAAGAGCCTTTTCCAGTTAACCAAGACATGTCTCCAGTTCTAAGGCAAAGACAAAAGTAGGACAACAGGATTAGCCAGATCTGCTCACCTAGTGTTTCTGAGTTTGCCTTCTGCGCAGGTCAGTATCGCTGGCTATCCTGCTGCTCCAGTTTCTCTGCAGCAAACACCCTCTCTTCACTGCGTTGCCTGCAACCCTGCTGGAGGAGCTGGGGCAGAATATTGACCTGATGTAGCCAAATGCAGAGAGGGGAGCACGTCCAGACTTTGTGTCATTAAAGTCTTCTCTATATCCCAAGCTGCACTGGTTTAAATAAAGGTGTGATTTAAAAAAAAGTGATTTAGTTAAACCAGGACAAAACCCTGTGTAGAGGCTCTTAATTCAATGTAAATTTGGGTTAGGTTGTTTTAGCTGAAATTGTTAAAAACCAGGTTTAAGCTGAATTCCGAATGGCCACACTGGGTTTTGCACCGGTTAAACGGAATCGGTTGTTGAACCAAGATCCAGGTGAACCAGTGCAACCATGAATATAGGCCAGGCCCATGGGTCCAGCGGGGCAGTGGCCCAGATGCGTGCACGTGCACAAGTTGAGGAATGAGCACTATTGTGGCTACACGTTAACAGATCCAGACCCGTGTGTCCGAACTCCCTTTCCACAGAAGCAACAGATTTATCAACTGCTCTATGCAGAGGGGACAAACCACAGTCAAACCACTTCATTCCAGTCAAAGGAGTCTTTTCCATGTGAGGGGCTGCTCCATTTAGGCAACTAAACAGAGTAAATGACATTTCTGCAGGAACTAGGAACATCTCCCAGACCAGGGCTTCAGCTGTTGACGTTAACTTAAAATCTGTCACTTTAACCCTTCGTTGCTAACATGCGGCAAGTTCAAGATACAAAAGGAAACATACTTGCCATGACGAACGAACAGCCTTAAATACATGTACGCAGCAGGAAAACAAGGAGAGAACGTTCGGTTAGTATTAAGTTCCTGTTCCTGATGCACGGCAGGGCCAAGAGTCCTTTCCCACCCCCACCCCCACCCCCAGGAGGGGCAGAGAACAGGCTGGCTCCTGACGGGTCGGGCAAAAAGCAGCCTCGGCACTCTAAGGCCAGAGCAGTGAGACGGCTTTCTATGCTCTGCAGGCAAGGAGGGCGAAATGCCAGACTCCCCCTGCGGGAAGGGTCACTGCGGACCAAGATGTGGCACATCGCAGGCCCCAGAACCTCACCCACCCACTCCTGAAATAGACCCTTAACCTCTGGCTGAGCGACTGAAATCCTCACATCACAGTTTAAAGACTTCAGGTTCCAGAGAATTCTCCATGTACACTAGTTTAAACCTGCCAGTAACGTTTACCTTTCATGACATTTTTCACCTCTGGTGACTGAAGGAATGTAAACTTTTTTTAAAGAAAAGTTTCAGCAAAAATAAGTTGGGCGCTTTTGAGGACAAAGGAAGTGGGGGAGCGGGGGAAATACATTCTGGCCATTATAAAAATGCAACTTTTTGTTAAATCCCTAGCTCCTTAGTGCTTCGAGCCAGAAATCCAAGTTTGTCAGAGGGACAGTCTGGAGTGATGTGATGCAGATCCATTTCAACTTGGCTGAGTTAAAGGATTTATATACACTGTTGGATTTTCATTCAGTAGAAATCAATCTCCCAATATTTTCTTGGCATCACCTATGTAAGTTGAGTGGAACTTAGGTCTGCCTTCAGAATGCCCCCCTTTCTCCTAGGGGTACGTGCTACACCACATTCCATTCTTGGTCCATATGCTGTTATATTCAGGCTCCCTCCTCCGTCACTGTGGTTTGGTCAGTGCACAGGCAGGGATCCTGCAGAACTGGGCCTGCATGGCTAGTTCCCTGTAAACGTGCAGGACTCACCCCTGCAGCACCTCCTGCTGGTCGTCTCAGGGAATTAGCTCTTTCCAGCACTGAGCGTCCTCTGCAGGCCAGTGTCCCGCTGCCCCCCCCCCCCCCGTGTCTCTCCTGGACCCCGGTACCCCTTGTCTTTGGCGTGCTGCCCCCTGGCAATACCCCCACAGTCTCACGGTCTCCCCACCCTGGGGAACCTCCACCCTCTATCCCCACCTTACATCAGTCATGGGCTACTGCCAGTCACCATCTAGCCCCAGCTCACTGGGGCAGACTGCAGTGTAAAAGCCACTCATCAGAGGCAAGGGGAGTTTAGACCAGCTGCCATCCTCTGCCTCCTAGTACCTCTATGGGCCTTGGACCAGGCCCTGTAGCCTGGGGAGTTGCCAGACTGGAGCTCCCCTGCGTCTCTGGCTCTCCCCAGCCCTGCCTCACTTCCAGTACCCCTCCTGCAGGCAGCCAGGCCCTGCTCTCTCCCAGCCTGGAGAGAGACCTCTGGGCCACTGGCTCACAGCCTTTTTATACAGGCCAGCTGTGGCCTGATTGCTGCAGCTGTTTCCCCAATCAGCCAAGACTCCCTCTCGCAGTCTCAGCCTTCTCCCAGGGCTGATTTCAAGCCCTTCAGGGCAGGAGCGGGAGTGGGAGACCACCCCACTACATTCCCCTTGAGGCGATCCATGTGTAAATGTGATGGATGATGAATAGTGACTAAGGGAGGGAGAAAGGGATAGTGAGTGGTGGAGGGTTAATGAGTGTAGTGGGACTAGAGGAGCGAGTGTGTTTAGGAAGTACAGCTGACAGTAGCAAACAGCAGATGGATATGTATGGGTTGTCACTTGTCATTCACCTGAACTAATAAAGGATGAACCATTGCTTCTAGCCCAGGCAGTGTTTCTGCTCTAGCACCTGCCAGCTGATGGATCACTCGCCCGTCTGGTTTTGATTTTACTTGGCCCGATTTATGTCACAATTGTCTTTAGCAGCGTCTACTTACTCCACATCTCGTTTTCTGATTGCTCTCCCAGAGGCCATGACCTCAGCGACTTTGGACACAATCGGGTCATAGTTCATACTAGCCACAGCAATCACCTCCTCGTTCCTACAACAAAGATCAGAGGTGTGAAGGAGACACCGCGGGTAATGAAGTGAATGGCTTTAGATGGACACTTGTTTCCTTCACGAAAGGATAAACTCATTGATGGAACCACCAGGGACTATGAACCTATAATCTCTTCCCAACTTCAGGAGCCCCCATTAGCCCATGTGCTTGTTACCTCAGACAGCAGCACCCGGTGAGGAGAGCGGCCGGTGAGCAGCATGTGGGCAGGCACTGGTGGGGAGTGGATGGAGCCCTGGCTCCATGCCTGGTCCCAGCTTTGCTCATGGGACAGCACAGCGACACACTGCCCCTAATCAGGGCAGTACGGTCTGACCCTGTGATGCTCTGATGTGGCTTTAAGTACTAAAATAACCCAAAACATTTTTTTGAGGTGGAAAAATAATGTCCAGCTGTCTCTGGAGGAGGAGGGCAGAACCTAGACATAATAGATGTTGTACTAGAGATGTGATGCCTTCTAGTGTGCAGAGAAACCACAGTGCTGCGGGTGGTGGAAAATTAGGTGAATGTGATTCTAGCCTTTTATTTCCTCTGCCGGTATGTTGAAAAATGCCTGGAAACAAAGTGAAATGGTTCATTGCAGGTTGAACAAAATATCTGTCAACTTTTTCAAATCACCACGTTTTTTCAGAGTTTTTGGATTAGGTCTGGTTGAGCTGAAATTTTAAAAAAGCTTTTTTGGAAATGCCAGCAAGCTGAGAAATCATTTATTCCCCCAGCTCTAATGAGGACCACACCTAATAACGTACAATGGGTTTTCACTGCTAAAAAGAGTCGGGAATGTCATACAGACAAAGAGGCACGCAGTCTGTGCAGAGCACTTGAGCCTAAATCAAAATGAACCTGTACAGCATTCAAGTAACTATTATGCTTCTGACAAGAATACAATGTGTTCACAATTTCTCTGAGACCTGCAAAGAGATTCATGTGTAGAACAACATGAAAAGCAATGCAATCCCTCACAGAGTAAAGTAAGAAATATTCCAATAAGAGGGTCCTTCTGTATCAAAGCACAGGGATGGAGTGATGATAAAGTACTTAAACTCATTGATTCAACAGAGTGGTAGCTCTAATAGGGATAGAAGACAAATCAGTTGGATTAATACGTTCTACCCTGAGAGAATTAGATACTTTTGAAAATCCCCATCGTCAATCTATTTAGCTCATTGAAGAGAAGCATAAGAGGCAACAAGTACCTAGATTAAGGATTCTGACAGCAAACAGCTCTTTAATCTAGCATAGTCAGAACAAAGGTCCAATGACTGGAAGCTGAAGATCGACAAATTCGTACTAGAAATATGGCACACATTTTTACCAGTGAGGGTAATTAACTTTGGAAGAATTTATCAAGGGATCTGGTTAATTCTCCAGTTCTTTGCAAGTGTCCCACAGGAAATCGGACATTGAATGGGTTGATGGATAAGCTTGAGGAAACAGCTGTTGATGCTATTGAGCTGAACAACGTTCTGTTTTGAGATCTCAAATACACCGATGGCCTTGTCTTGTTGGCTCAGTTGGGTGAATTGCTGCAGCCAGGTAAGAAGTAGCGTGCACGGGGCTGATTATTAATCTGGATAAAATTCAGTCCTGGCCCTTGCTATCAAGCATTCTCCAACTCCAGATTTCAAGCAGCTCGCTATTAACAGTCCAGACTGGACGTTGAGCAGGTGGCAACTGGCAAATACTTGAAGTGTCACCGACAGTGCTGGAGGTTGCTCAAGAGATGCACTTGTATAGCAGCAGCTGCCGCCATGTTTCAGACCCTTCATCAGCCTCTGTTGCAATGTCATGACACTCAGCTTGCTACAAAGCTGCGGCTCTGTAGAGCCACGGTTCTACCCACTCTGTGGTACGCCAGTGAAATGTGCATGCCGAGGAAGGCTAACGAGCATTTGATTGATGCTTTCAGTTCTTATAGTCGACATCAGTTTCTCCTTATTAAGAGGCAGGACAAGATCAGAAATGAGGATATTTGAAGCTGACCTCAGCAACGGCTTCTGTCAGCAATGGTTTGGTTTTGGTGACTTTCTTGGCACAGACGTGTTATTAGGATAGAAGAGCAACAAATCACGAAGCGTGTTTACCCAGGAATGCTGCTACACAGCTAGTGGTCATGTGGTCACCTGAAGCTTTGGTGATGCAATAAGATTGCCAGTGATGGGCATAAACTGAACAGCCAGCCAGCCTGCAAAACCTAGCTGGAAATAAATCCAGGTGGTGCTTGTTCTGCAAGGAGGCCATGTCTCTTTGGGATTTGCCATGATGGTGATGATGACGGGAAACGGGGTGGGGCTCCAGGAAGCCAGTTATGCCTACTGGATTCTCAAGGGGCATCTGCCCTGGCCCTGGCACAACAGTGCAAAGTTTCGGGGCTGCTGTAACTTTCACCAAGTGAAACATTCACCAAGGTCCTTATGGGACCTTGTACCAGTTATGAATTGGCCTGGTGAAGTAATCTCCATCCTTACCCCTCTCACTCCCAACACCCCTCCAGCCCCCATCAGAATGTTAATGGTCATTGGTCTAGGAGCCAGTGATGACACTTTATGCCAGGTGAGAGCTCCCCACCACTCGAGAATTTCTTAGGCAGCTAGCTGAGGACAGAGTCTGCAGGTGGCAACAAAACGGTTTGAAATGAGGAGAGAATCTGGGCCTTTAAACCAAGATTGGATGCCATTACCAAAGATATACCCTACCTCAGCCACTAGTTACTGGGCAGGATGCAGGAATCACAGGGTGAAATTATCTGGCCTGTGTTAAGCAAGCGGGCAGACCAGTTGATCAGAATGGTCCTTTCTGGCTTCAACATCCCTGAGCCAGATTCTTAATGGGTGTAAATGGGCATAGCTCCAGTGAAGTCAGCCTTCAGTAACCAGACTGTCTCTCTCACTTTTCGCAGCAATCACTTTTAAAAACTATGTTGAAAAATAATTTTTTTAAACACAGTGGAAACTAGTGTGGACAGGGCTTAGAAGAGCAGCAATAGAAGCCTGGTTGACCTGCATTCGACACCGACACCGCTCCCATAACTCCAGGTGTCACAGCAATGACACCCAGATTTGGGTTGTACACAGTCTGGGGTGAAAACCAATAATCCTCAAGCAACTAACCCTAACACTAGCCGGCTAGTACCCTGCCTGCTGGGAACGCCAGATAAGTTACAAACTAGATTGCAAACAATTCATTCTGGGAGACTCTCTCACTACAGAGAAATGCAGTCTCTTATCTAAATATCAGATCAATGTACAAAACTAGAAATAGACACTGACAAGTATAAAACTTCTGCAATGTCACAGGCACCTAATTAGGTAGCTTAGACGAAAGGTGAGAATGAAAAATGACAATTTCCACTTCACTGTTCAAAGACAAGGAAATAAGAGGGAGACTCTATCAATCAGCTAGGGTAAAAGATTTGCTATTCTGAATCAAGGAATAAACAATGTATATATTTGGGAGAAAGAAAAGAGATGGCACAAACACTTTCCAAATAGGTAGCCTATCGACTTAGGGTTACCAGATAGCAACTGTGAAAAAACAGGACAGTGGGTGGGGGGTAACAGGCGCCTATATAAGAAAAAGTCCCAAAAAATGGGATTGTCCCTTTAAATACGGGACTTCTGGTCACCCTACCTATCGTTGACTGAGAATTGGGCATGATTGAGACAATGACAGAACCATTATCAATGGGTAAATCCTCTTATAGACTCATACACTCGAATTATTTATTTTGGAAACATTTCTAGGTTTTGTAATGTCAACAAAGTTATGGACAACTGGGTCCTTTTATGGTGTCTCAAATAGGACATCCTAAATATGTGTCACTTTTGAAAATCTTGGCCATGGGAGAAACTATAAGAAATGCCTCTTAAAATCAACTGGGGCACCATTTCTGAAACTGGGGGGTGGAAGAATTAGGAATGGATATAAACTGGCCGTCAGGAAGTTTAGGCTTGAAATTAGACGACGGTTTCTAACTGTCAGAGGGGTGAAGTTCTGGAACAGCCTTCCGAGGGTGGAGGAGTGGAGTATCAGAGGGGTAGCCGTGTTAGTCTGGATCTGTAAAAACTGTGGAGGAGAGGTTCTGGGGAAAGGCAACAGTAATGATCCTTCATGGTCGATCCTCTGGGAGCTCCTTGACCTTGGGGATCAGTAAGCTTTGCAGGAAAATGTAGGTCAATTTTGAGGTTGGGAGGCAACCCTGGTGTCCCAGAACAATAATCAAGAGATTCCACAGGGTGAACTGTATGGAGGGCCCTTTCTCCTATGTTTCCTCTCCTGGGCTGATCTAGCACCAAGATATTTGGTGATAAGAAACCAATCTCCTTTGTGACAAGAGCACTTCAACCTTTGCTCTAGCAGCACCAACCAGGGGGGCTGGAACAATTTGTATCGTGGGGGTGGTGAGAGCCATGGAACCAAACTATAAACCCTGTATGTAATGGAAACCACTTCAAGCCAGGGGGTGCTGCAGCACCTCTACTCCAGCACCTATGGCACCAACAGGGGCTTTGCTTGTGCTGTTGCCCTGTAACCCTGGGGTAACAGGCAGGTTTGGTGGGTGGTGGTTGTTGTTTTTTTTACCAATTTCTTCTTCAATCTCTGAAAAATAATGTTAGTTTAACTGTGACACTGAGCCGGGAGAGCAGGCCCTGGAATGTAAGCCACCCGCATTTCATTGCAATGAACAAGAGAGGGGAGATCAAAGGGCAAATAGGCAGCGAGGGACAGTCTCTCCAGCTTTGACTAGCGGTGGAAGTCAGAGGAGAGTCAGTTTATGACAGTGGCCTCCCTCCCAGCATCAGCACTGCACCATACAGAGTTGCCACCAACGGTTAGAAAGAAGAGACCTAGAAATAACTCCCAGGGCCTGAGAGGCAAAGACTGTCCTTGATTCCAAGTAATAGGATATAGAGAGATAAAGAGAAGGTGACACTAATGTCCCAGGCTTAGAAGAACCCCAGACTGATTAATCAGTGCAGCCCCCCACTAGCTAGAGCTGTTCAAAGATACCTCAAGGACTCTATGCAGGTGGTCATCCTATTATAGAAAAGCCAATTCCTGTGGGCTTTCCTAAGTCACAGAATAACACACGTACTTTTAGCAGCAGACTCCCACTTTCAATCTGGTTTGTTTAAGGCTTATTTACAACCTGTAATATGTATGTTAAGGTTGGCCAGCAGGCTGTGTTCAAGCAGCTCTCCTTTCCCTGACATTTCACTGCTCGGAAACCTTTGCCACTTCCTTGCTTTACTGAGTGTTGAACACAAAGTGATGAATCAATGGCCATAATAACATGCTGTCATTATTCATATTAGCTATCCATAGCTTTTCATCTTCAAAGTACTTTACAGATGTTTAATTAAAGAGATTTGACATTTCCTTCCTAATTAGGGATGGAATAAATACCAAAATATGCCAAATATTTTCCTGTGGTATTGAAGAGGAGGAATATAATGAGGCTTCAACGAAAGCCCCATTTTGAGCTTCAATATGTGAAGGAATCACGTCACCATACAACTTTTAGTGAGCATTCCGGAATCATGCATTCAGTTCTGACCACTTCACGGGCAGAGAGACTGGAGACTGTTCTGAGAAGAACAACAATGATCCTGGGGTTGGAGGACCTGGTTAACGGACTTTTTGGAAAGACTGAAGGAGCTATGTGTGTGTAGGTCAGTTAAGCAGCAGCTAAGGGGGAACGTAAGCCTGTCCATATCCGAAGTAGAGTTGGTAAGAAATGTTTTGATGGAAGAGTTTTCTGTTGGAAAATGCAATTTCATTGAAATAAAAATGGTTTTTGGGGAATGTCTCAATTTCAACAATGTTTTTGATGAGAAAAGTCTAAACAAATCGTTTAGGTTTTCTCATTTCATTTATGTGTCAAACTGTTTCATTTTGATAATGTAAAAATGTTGCTTTCCAACTTTATCATTTCAATTCATTTTGTTTGAACCATTATAACAAAACGTTAATGTTAATATTACATGTTTATATATTGTATTTAATATATATAATTGTGAAGGGGCCGCACACCCACTCTGCGGGGGGAGAGGGGGAAACCAGCGAGTTCTTCTGGGCTCATTCAGCACCTGCAAGGCTTGCTCTGCCTGGAGGGGGAGCTTAAAAAGGGAAAACTTGCCACAGGATGGGGTGGTGAACAGGACGAAGACTGATACACCTCAGACACTGCTGACAACAGAGACAGATCAGCCAAGAGGGAGACAGTTGCAGGCCCCACTGCTCCTGAAACTGTATGGACCAGTTGTAAAGCAGGATGCTCCAAGAGGAGGGGCTGGAGGTAGACCCTAATTAAAGACAAAGACCAGTTGATAAGCCAACCCCCAAAAGGGTTGTGTAGCAGGATGGTCACCCCGCTCCTGCCCTGAGGGGGTTAAAGCAGCCCTGGAGAGGGCTGTGGCAGAGAAAAGCCAGGCTGATTGGGGGAAGCAGCCACAGCTGGGGCCACGCCCCAAATCAGGCCACAGCTGGCCCTTCAAGAGGGCTGAGGGCCAGAGGCTAAGAAGAGTCTCTCTCTAGGGCTAAAGAGAGAAGGATCTGGCTGCCTGGGAGCTGAGCAGGGTATCTGAGGTGGAGCAGTGCTGGGGAAGGGCAGAGGGAGCTCCACCCTAGTCAAACCCCAGGCTGCAGGCCTTGCTAAAAGGCCAAAAAGGCACTAGGGCTGCAGAGGGACAGCCCAGAGATAGGCAAAGGCAGCAGGTTCTAGCCCCCCGTTGCCGATGATGAGTGGTTTGCAGTCTGCCCCAATGAGTGGGGGCTAGATGGGGACTAGCAGTAGACACTGAGGCGAGGCGGGGATAGCGGGTGGGGAGACCCAGATTGTGGGTTACTGCTAGGGGCAGAACCATGATGTAAAGGGCACCAGGGTCCGGGAGGGACACAGGGGCCAGCGGCAGGCGAGACACCGTCCGGCAGAGGGCGCTCTGGACTGGAAGAGCTAATTCCCAGGATGATCAGCAGGAGGCGCCGCACTGGTGAGTCATCACTCCGCTACAGGCTGACTCCAGAAAGATTGCCCAAGAGAGGGTCCATCTTTGCCTTTAAATTCTGTCACTCTATTCCCTGCTCTTGTAAGGGAAAGAGAGAGAAAAGGAGCTTTCTTTTGTTTGTTTTTCTAGGAGAACCCCTCCGCTGGGGCAGGGCATTAGAAACACCTTGACATTTAAATGATATGGGAATCAAAATGATAACGTTGGAAAGAATTTTTTTTCACATTTTCAAAATGAAACCATTTGAAGTGGGGTCTGGGGACATGTGCCGGGGGCTGCTCTCGGCTTCCCCACCCCAGGCAGATGGAGGGTCCGTGACTCCCAGCCTGCTCCAGCTTCTGGCTTGGCCAGGGGTGGGGCCTTGAGTGAAAGATGTGGGGCGGGGGCACTGAAGGGGTGGGGGTCCCTGACACCCCCCCCACTTTTGGGAAGGCTCCGCCACCCCTGCAGTGCAGCCCCTAACATTTATGTGCCCTGCCACCTAATGCAATTCACAACTCTGAGTTAGGTGCCCCTTACACAAAGCACGGG